ACACAACCGACACCAAAGCCCCACACAGGGCAGCATCTCTCCCCACCAAGCCGCGTGCCCGTCGGCACATCCACCCACTCTAGGCACGATCCCGCTTTTTGGGGAGGTGTGAGGCTTCCCAGTGGGTTTGGGCAGCGGGACTGCATTGGACGCTGCTCCTGCACGCTAATTGTGCCAGGCAGCATTGCAAACAAGCAGTGCTTGAACCTGCAAGCCTGAGGAGGCCATTTCAGCTGCAAGATAAATGGATATCGCGGAGCAAGTGGCAATTAGCGTGGGTAAAGAGCCCCTTAGTGACTGTCCCTTACATAACACCTTTGTTCCAGGCCCTTCACTTCATATTCAGTTTGTAAATAAACTTGACTCCCAGTTTTACTGGGGCCTTTATTCCCTCTTTATTTTATTTTATTATTCTTTTAACCCGGCGAAGAACGAGGCAATTGTTCGCCCGTGGGGAGATGTGGCGCTTTGAGGCGCTGCCCGGCCTGGCATTGCCCACTCACCCCGAATCAGGCGCCGGCAGCAGTGGATGACAGAGCCACCCACGCGGCCGCAATGCCAGCGATTTTAATTGCTTTGCCCCCACTGATGGTGCCCAGAGGCTCATTACGCTGCTGGAGATGAATGGGGGCCTGAAAATGGGGCTTTGTAATTGCAGTGGGTTGAAGGTGGTGGGGGCTTTCATTGGAGGGGTGGCTTGGCAGAGGGGCTGAGCTGTGCCCCCCAAGTTTGGGGTCAGGGAGGGTCTAGGGGACTGTGGATCAGCCCCAACACAGGGACCCATCTCTAATTCACACTGTGTCCTCCCTGTCATCGTATAACCCGTGGGTCCTGGGAGGCTTTGTCTGCACCCACGGGTGGCCTCTGCTAGGCTGGCAGTGAGAGGATGCTCCAAGGCACAGCGGGATGTGCCTCAGTGGATTTGGGGTGCCTGGTCCCAGCCTTTGGGCACGCTGCAGGGAGCAGGGCTCGATGGCTCTCCTGCCTTTAACCTGCATGCTCAAGCTGTGGTTTCCTTTTGCTAGGTCCTTTTCCAAAGGGCAGGGACTGCTCGGGTTGTTATCAAGATGTTTAGTACCCCAAGCAGTGGCTCTTCCTCCACCACCGGTGCTGCCTGGGCTCTTGCCTTGCTGTGGCACAGCGCTGCCAGTCTTTCAAACGGCCCAGTGCTGGTGATGCTCTGCCGTGATGGGAAGCCGTCGGGCGCTGCTCTTTGTTTGGCACAGGGATGGTAGGGTCCCTGCTCCTCTCCTGAGCCTTCCCTCTTCCATATGGTGCCCATTATTAGACGTGTGCATCAGCCTCGTCTGACAAGGAGCTTTACAGGTGTCGCTCGGATAATGATTCACACTCTAACGAAGGTGGGAAAGATGATTAGCTGGCTTTCTATCAAACAGCACACGGCATCAGCTGTTCCTGGGGGTGGGGAGGTGGTGGGGGCTGCGGATGTGTAAGGACATGTATGCCAGCAGCTCAGGGAGCCTGGGCTTTGTCCTGCCTCTAATTCCAATGGACTCTCCGGCACGTCTTTGTGTGCCTTAGTTTCCCCAGCTGTAACAGATAGATGTTGTTATTGCTTTTCCTTGTAAAACACCCTTTGAGCAGCTGATCGAGCTCTTGCATTAGCAAGAGGTGATTTAGGCAGGTCTCTGGGCAGCTGGGCTGCCACAGGAAAGGGCAAGGGAGCTGTCAAAGTCAGGGCTCTCAAGGGACAAGGCTGGTGACGGGGGGACGGGGACAGGGACATGAATTAAATGAACCCCCTGGAAGCAGGGATGTGGTGTGGTGCGTCTGGAGTGTGTGCTGCAGGCTGCAAGAGCCCCGCAGTGTGGGGAAGGGATCCCTGGTGCCATTGTAGCATGGGCAAGGCTTGCTCCACACAGATGTGTCCGTGCCCTCCCCTGCCTGCATCATGTCGGCGAGGCCTTGGGCTTTTCCTGCTGATGTATTTTAAATAAAGACTTATTTAGCAGGTAGGTCCTACCATCCCTGAGCCTGACACAGGTACAGCATCCACCCAACCCCTATGAGCTGGCAGAATTTCTTCTCCAGCTCCTTCCACATCTTGAATATTGTTGGAGGGAAAGGCAAAACGGGAAAATGAGAATAAAATGAGCTTTTCTCAGACATCCTTTGCAGGGAAAGACGTGCTGTCTCGCGGCACATCTCCCCGCGTTAGGCTGTGATCTGAGGGTGAGCCCTGCTTTGAAAAGTGATGGAGCAGAGAGCTCCCTGCAGGACTGGGGAAACTGAGGCACGAGTGGCGTCTGGCACCCAAACCACCCTCGAAACAGAAGAGGTGTGAAGGTTGGGTGCTCGCCCAAGCTCCTCATGCCCCACTGGGGTGTGATCATCACCCAGCCACCGCCACGACCCGCCTGTCCCAGGACGAGCCCCCGGAGCTGCGGGCAGAACCAGCGCTGCCTCTCCCCAAGCTAGTGAGGCCAGCGGGATTATCTGCTTAGCTGCACCATCTGTTCGTCAAACTGCCATCATTATGTTCAACTTGGGAAGAAAACGGCCCCTACAGAGAAGCAATTTGTTCGATGACTAAACCTTTCAGGCTCTCGCCGTCCGAACCTACCCTCGCCACTGTACGGGCGAGCTCTCTGCTCGCGCCCGGCTCGCTTAAACAATCTGCAGGGAGAGTGGCGGTGCGCAAGCTGGTCACACTGGTAAATGGGAAAGGGGAGGGCACAGGGCTCCCCTAATCCGATTACAAAACATAACAGCCTTTCAGAGGGGCCAGGGGGGCCGGGCGAGGGGAGGAGGAGGGAGGTCCATTTCACACCCGACCCCTACGTCTGGGGGTCTCGCAATGATCTCACTGGAGGGGCTTTTCTTCCAGTCGCAGTGGGTTGCTTTTGAAACGTGCTGCGAAGAGATCAAAAAGGGGAAAGGGGCTGCCTGGGAAAGAGGAGGAGAAAGCTGGGAAGGAGGTGAGGTGGGAGGGGGTGTCGTGGGGCTGGGGGTGAGCCCTGCGCCCCAGACTGGGGGTGATGACTGGACCCTGACACCCCCTTGCTGGGGCATCAGCCTTCGTGCCACTTCTTCTCGCATCCCTCCTCTGCGACGCGGCACTGAAGAGTGGTGCATGCCAAGGGGACGTGGGCATGCGGGACGTGTCCTTCCTTATGTCTTGAGCGTGGTGTGGGGCTGGGGTATCTGTACGGAGCAGGGACAGCAGAAACCCTCCCCAGCACCTGCGGTGGCAGCAGGAACTGAGCCGTGTTTTGTCATGGAAATTCAGTGGCACCGAAGCATTTAGCAAATGTTGATTTCACCAGGTTTTCTGTAACGAACGACTGAAACTGGAGAAGTTAAAGTGATGGACTGACTTATATCAAAGCGAGAAGTTTGGAATTTCTGTTGTGGAGCAATGCTTCAGACTCAAAATTTTCTCTAATTTGATTTCATTTCTTTTAGAAAGGATAGAGAATCCTGTTTAAAAGTGATGGTTTATGGTCAGCCTGCAACCAAATTATTTTTAGGGGTTTTTTTGCATCTTTGATGCAATTATTTAAAAAAAAACTATGTATTTCAACAGCAGCAGGTATTAAAACAAGATGGTCCCAAATGTGGCCACTTTGGTTGGGTAGCAAACCGCTTACCCCAAACCTTGCTGCATTGGCCCTGACCCCCTGTCCCTTCTGCATGGAATGGGGCTGTGGCTCCCCTCCCTCCCCCGGGGGGGGGGGGGGGGGGATGGTGCTGGCAGCTGGGGACACCTGCACCCATGGGAACCCCACATGGTGAGCGCCAGAGTCTGGCACTGGAGGTGTGAAAGTGTCTGGCAGCCGCCCCTGGGCTCATGGAAGGTGGGTCCCCCCCAGGCCTCCTCCTCCCACTGGGGACCTCTGGCACGGCCACCATTGCGCCTCAGGGAGCCCTTTGGGGCTGTGCCCCTGCTCCAGGCGCTGCAGGACCCCCCTTGGCTTCACTTGAGCTGCCACTTTCCCAGGGTGCTGGAACCTGCTCCCAGGCAGGAGGTTTGGGGGCTGTTGCCCGCACCTGGAGCAGGCAGGCAGGGTGAGAGCCTCTCTGCAGGGGGCATGTGGAGATGGGGTGCTGGGTGCTGCTGGGGGCCCTGGAAAGCAGGGGGACCTGGGGGCTGCAATTGCCAGGGGAGCATCCACTCCCAAAGGGGCTGAGTGTTGGGGGGCACTTTCCTGTTCTGAGGGGGGGGGGGGCTTTTTTTTGGCCCCAGTGCAAGGTGATGAGTGGTAAGGGGAAGGCAGGGGTCACCCCTGTGCTGGGGACCCTGGTGTCACCCTGGACCTGCCCCTGGGTGGTGGCTGCTCTGGGCTATCGCATGTTCTGGTGGCTAAGGCTCCAGTAGGGTACCCTGCTTGGGGGGGTGCGGGCAGCGCAGATGGCGACAGGGTTGGAGCAACCCATGGAACCAACCCCATGGGCATCAGTCTTTAGGGCGCAGGTGGGTTCTGGGGGCTTTGCTTTTCTCCCTGAAAAGAAACCTGAAGGAAACCCAGCCAGCAAAGCTGGGCGGGTGCTGTGTGAACTCACTGGCAAATCCTGAAGCTACAAAGGATCTACATGTTTTAATTGTTGTGTGCAAAAGTATCCATAGAAAGTCATTGCTGCTTTCTGTGGACCCTGGTACGCCCCTTCCCTGACACAGCCCTCCTCATTGCCACCTTCTCTTCAGAGAGCAGTAGATGGGGAAACTGAGGCACAGAGCAGAGCAGGGAAGTGGCTGAGCCAAGTCTGGACACCCAGAGGTGTCCCTGAAGCAAGCCGGGTCACTCCCACAGCAAGCACCCATATCACTGCAGCATCTCTTCACCCTCCAAAGGCCCGTGGGCACTTGGCCTGCTCCCAAAACCTTTGGGACCAGGAAGTGGCTCCCACATGGGGACAAGCCTGGCTGTCTCCAGAGCAGGTTGCTGGGCAATTGAGGCTGCCAGAAGCTTCCCAACACTGGTGATGCCAGCAGAGGGTTGAGGCTGGTGGTGCAGGACCTCACCGTGGGATCAGGGTCATTAGACCAAGGTGCTGGCGCCCGGCTCCTTTCTGCTTTCCCTGCGGTCGCATCCTTCCTCAGCCACCTGTGCCAACGAAGAGATAGAGAGGGGCAGAAGCGGGGCCTGCTCGGAGCAAATCAGGACTGGATGGGGGGGACCTGGGGGGCTTTAATGAAACTGTCTCCCACCCTAAACGCTGCTGCAGGAGGAGGGAGGATATCAGCAGCCGGGGGGAAGCATCCAACCCCTGCTGCTGCCTGAGCCGCGTAAACCCTTATTTTTACCAGCTTTACCTCCCAGAGGACCGTGTTTTCCAGGTACCGCGTGTCCGGGGGAGACCTCAACCCTTTCATTTTCAGGACGGCTCCTGAGGATGCCCAAAACCGGGGGAGGGCGTCTGAGAACGGGGCGGCCGGGCCAGCCCGGCTGCTCTCGCCGGGCTTCCCCTGACATCTAGCGGCAGCGCTGGGCTGGGCTGCACCGAGCCCCGGCCCCGGGGGCAGCAGCTCCGGTCCCAGCCCAGGCCCCGGGGGCAGCAGCTCCGGTCCCAGCCCAGGCCCCGGGGGCAGCTCCAGCCCCGGGAGCAGCCCTAGCTCCGACCCCGGCTCCGGCTCCGGCCCCGAGGGGGTTTGCGCAGCGCCGAGCACCCGCCCCGGCTGATGGGGAGGATCCGTTTGGGGGCTCTTCCTGGCTTTTCCGCAATTCCCCCTGCTCCTCACACCCTCTGTCCCGTCTCACCGGAGGCAAAACTCACCCGTGAGGCTGCCTCCGAGCATGGCGAGGAGCAGGGTGATAGGCAGGGCGCAGAGCTGGCAGAGCGCCTGGTCAGTGGCCGTCCAGCTGCCCTGGGCCACCAGCGGGAACAAGAACTCCAGCCTGCAAGCCGGAGCAGGGATGTGTTTTTGGGGGGAACTTGTTCTCCCAGGCGGGGAAATGGGGGGCTCCGCTTATGGCTCTGGGTGATGTGCTATAAGCGGGCGCTGTAACAGAGGGTGCATGGAGCATCTCCGATTTTAGGGGTCATGGCTGCCCCAGCTTGGTGCATGGAGTCACTGGCACCCCTGATTCTGGCTCTTCTCACCTGCCACCATAAGCATCTGCAGTGGCCAGTGCCGTCAGCAGCGTCCCCAGCAAGGCACCCAGGATCCCCGGCAGCCCATGGACATTGTGAACCCCACATGTGTCCTGGGTTTTCAGCCTGGAGCACAGGACAGGCTGGGGAGAGCGTTTAAGGAAAAGCTGGGGTTTGGATGGGGGATGCTTGCCCAGGGAGGCTGTGCTGCGGCTCGGTGTTTGCAGATTTGGGAGCTGCAGGTTGGCAATGCAGCCTCCCCCAAAGGCAGGTGGTCCCCTGACCTGGGACCGGTGTCCTCGGCTGTCCCAAGGCAACTCACCATGAGGAATCTGAAGCCAAGTGGGGGGATCAGGCCGGCCAGAAACCCCGCAACGAGGGCCCCGAAGGGGGTGACCAGCATCTCCCCAGCCATACCCATCATGGCCGCACCAGCCAAGGTGGCATCCTGGATCTGAACCTGATGGAGCAGGACATGGTTAGGGGAATTGGCTCCATGGAGGATATCAGCATGAGGCTGGGGGGATTTGGATTTCCTCGGGGATCAAAATGGGTCTTAATGAACTAAAGAAAGCCTAATGGGCATCCCCTCTTGCCCCAGGTGTATTCATGCTCACTGTCCCTGTAGGATGGGACATGGGTTTGTCCCAGGAGAGGACCTACCATCCGCAGTGTGCCCTCCTCGTGGAGGACAGGTGAGAGGACCAAGGTGGCCAGTGTGCTTGCCGCCAGCGAGAAGTAGGTGTTGAGCACTGCCCAGGGCTCAGCATTTTCATGGACCGCGGTGGCTGAGGTGAAGCTGGGCCAGAAGATCCACAGGTAGATGGTTCCTGCGGGGAACAGGTAGGTTTTGATGTTGGGGTTGATCCCTCATGGGAAAGAAACTTCTTGCTAGTGCCAAGAGATGTAAGTGCCCACAGCTTGCAGTGTGGGAGGTTCAGGTTGGATATGAGGAAAAGCTTTTTCCTGGAGGGGGTAGTACAGCCCCAGGACAGGTCCCCAAGGAGGTACAAGACCTCTGTCCTTGATGGTTTGCGGGACTCTGCTGGTCAAAGCCACAGCCACACTGTCCTAATGTTGGTGATGGTCCTTCCACCATCATGTCTATGACTCCAGTGTTGTAGAGTTCAAGCTCCGTACCAACCACAGCAAAGACATCTGGCTGGTTCCCCGTGTCCTGCTGCTTTTTGCACTTGTCCATATGGGGCTGGTGCAAGATCCGTGAAATCATCAAGCCGAAATAAGCACCAAAGGTGTGGACAGTCAAGGAGCCCCCACTGTCTCTTACCTGGTGAGTACAGAAAAACACCGTACAGGAAAGGAGGATATGGGATTTGTCTCTACAAACAAATTGACATGAGGAGCTGAAACCCATAGTCATCCCCTTTCTGGTGGGCCCTCCCCGATCGGTGACTCACCCCCATGAGACTGAGCAGGATGTATTCATTAAGAGTGAAGAGGATGACACCCATCAGGGTCAGCAGCAGCATCTGGACAGGGTTTACCCTACCCAGAACAGCTCCGGTGGAGATCAGAATGGCTGCAGTGCAGAAGTCGGCACTGACTATGCTGGGAAGGAGAGGGGAGGTGTGGGGCTGGAGGACGGGAGCTGGGGAGAGCAGGGTTTTGGGGAGACGAGAGCTGAGCCTGCAGCCCAGACCCTGTATCCCACCGCTCCTGCAAGCTGAATGGGCAGCCCAAGCCTTGCAATGTTGGTGACAAAGGAACAGCTGGGCTTGAGGCGGGGAGGGGGGGGCAGCGTGCCCTCCTAAATGCCTGTCTGTAACTTGTTGGCAGTACTTACATGGCCCTTACTAGTGTGGTACTCAAATAACCCAGAAGTCTGGTCCTACTTGCCCTCATCATCCTCCTCCAAAGCAGAGCTGTGAGTTTTACAGAGGAGGGAGCCAGTGTGCCAGGGCTGGACCTGGGATAATCAAGGCCAGGCAGCAGCAGCTCCCTCCTGCCTTACCTCTGAGCTCCCACGTAAATTTTGCCATTCAGGAAGAAGTGTAAAAAACCCTGGATCAGTACGGCCCACTGGATGGCGAAGGCCATGATGAGGATGCTGATGGCCACACTGCCTGGCCCATAGCGGCTGAGGAAGGCCACCAGGAGCCCAAAGCCAAGGAGAGCTTGGAGGTGGACATCCCGGAAACCTGGAGGAAGAGGGACAGAAGGATGGATCTGGAGGTGTCGAGGACAGGCAGCCACCGTCCTGCCTGCTGGTCCCCTTGAGGGGGCTCAGACACTCCCTGCTTTAAGAGGTTTTGGGGAGCTGAAGGCTTCAACTGATATAAATCAGCCTTGCTCCACCTACGTGTCTCTGGAACTGTGGTGGATCTCCCTTGGAGATCTCCAGCAGAGAGCATGAGCAACTGCTTGTGCTTGTGCTAGTGACAGGTAAAGCTGTCCCCGCCTGATGTGGCCCCTGCCACCCTTTGCAGTGGCTCCTGGTCTCCCCATTTGCAGCCACTCTGTGCAGATACTTCGGTACATGCATGTGGTTCAGCCTGCAGCCCAGAAACCTCTTGGGGTGGCCAAGAGCCATCTACGTCCATTACACCAGCACGAAGGTGGGTCTGAGATGTCAACCACACCCCGGCACCTCTCTGCTGTCCCTGAAAACATCATGTCCCACTTCATGGGACAAGAGGACCGGAAGGCTGAACAGAAAAATGGGACCAGTCTGGTACCGTTTGGTGGCAAACCAGAGGAGCGGGACCAGATTCTCACTTGGGCTAAATGCCCTTTGCACACCTCAGCCGTGCCGAGAGCTGTGTCCCGTCCTTCCCCGTGTGCCGAAGCCGTGAGTCACTGCCTGCGCTGGGTGGGGTTACGTGCGCAGGCGAAACCGGGAAAACCTGCCTGCTGCCTGCTCCCTGATGGGTAGTTCTGCTCGGCTCAGCTCCCCTCCCTTGGCCAGGGTACTCCTGAGGCTCCTTTCCAATCACCTGCCTTGTCCTTAGCTCGGAAAAGCCGGGGTCAGTCCCTCATCCCCCAGTCCAGGATGAGTTTCGCAGCGATGCCCAGCGTGCAGGAGTATGCTGCCAGTGGGGCAGACCCACAGGCCCACATAGGGAGCTGTGGCAGCACCAAGGGAACCAAGTCGTCTGTGAAAGGGGCTTGGTGCAAATCCCTTGGCACTGCAAAACCCGAGAGGTCGGTGGGAAGTTTTGCAGACCCCAAAGTGCCAGGAGCAGCTGCCGTGCTCCCCCCCGGCGATGGGAGGACAATCCCAGGTTAATCACTGCACCGAGTGATCCCCTCCACACTCCAGCTGCCGAAACGCATGTCCTAGACCCAAATATTCCTGTTTTGGGCCTGGCTTTGTCCAATAATGTGGGAAATCCTTGCAGCACATCTCCTGTCCGCCCACCGACCCCTCCTTGGTGGCATGCACCGGTACCCCAACCCTGCGGCTTGATGTTCCCCCTCCTCTGTTTTACTCCGGAGTCTGATCCAGAGCTAGACAGTGTGACAGATCTGCAGCCTAGACCGAGCATGGTGACATCCCATGCCACCCCCTCAGGAGCGCCTGGGGATGAGGTAATGCCGCTCCCTCTACCCACCTGGGGTGGGGGTACTCACGGGGATGCTGAAAACTCGTGTCCTGGTTTCTCCAGCTGCAGTTCAGTTGCTGGGAGCAGAAGCCGGGGCTGCTCTCTGGGCCGTACCGGACAAAGACAGCGAAGAGGATGATGGTAATGATTTGGAGGAGGAAGCACAGTCCAGAGAGCTGGAACCTCGAGGCAGTGGTGTACTCAGGCATGTTGCTGGGGGCAGGCAAACCCCCTGAAACCGGGGAGACGCTAAGAGAGACGCGCTGGGGCTGCAAACTCCGCCTGCCAGGGCGGCTGCCAGGTCCTGCCCTCGCCTCAGTGCTTCCCACAGGTGGAAGAACCGGCCGGGAGCGGGACAGCACTGTTAACAGAAACCCTGGGCTGGCACACCTTGGCACCTGGTTTTGCCACATCAGGCGGCTCAGGCCACTGTGCCGGGGAAGCACACGGGGCTTTTGGTGTCACATCCATCTCAGCTGAGTGCAAGAGGGTCGGGGTGGGATTTGGGGTGTGGGGGGAGCCATGGCTGGGGGACATCCAAGGTTTCAGCCTTTCTGGAGGTGCAGCATGGAAGAAAAATGGTGGGTTTGGGGAATTGGGTCAGACAGAGGAGATGGAGGGTGGTGGAGCAAGCACGGTGGGACTGACCCGCTGCAGAGGTGCTGGGCTCCGGCAAGCTCAGCAAAACCAGGTTTAAACTCCCTGGTCAGTAGGAAAAATGATGGTTCAGGGGGGCTATGGTGAAGAACTTACCTGTAGGGCTGTGTGGGGAGGAGGAGAAGCTGAGCCTTGAAAAATAAGGGCGAGGAGCGCTGTCAGAGGCTGCTGTTAGCAACCCGTGCCAGGAGCTGGAACGCGAAGGTTTCCTTTGCTTTACTTTGGCTGCTTCTGCTTTTGCAGAGAGGTGTTTGTAATGCACTGAGAGCGGGTACAAATCCCAAAAAGGGAGAGGAAGAGAAGAGGAGCCGAGAAGTAAAACACAGTGTGTGTTTGGGAAGTGACTCGGGTAACTCCTTTCCAAAGCGCCGGGCCAAATTATGATCTCAGATAAGCAGCATCAGGCTGGGGTCATGCCCTGACGCCAACAGGATGGGGAACGGGAATGAGTCACGTTTGGAGGCCCCAGCAAGTGTCCTGCTTCAGGCTGTGGTTTTGTGAGAGCTGAGGGGTGTAGCTGTTGCCTTCACTCGGGAAAAATGCAAGAAACAGCTCAGCTCGTTTGTGGTACCACAGAGCTGGGAAACAGCATCCTCCAGCCAAGGAGCCCTGAGCTGCTGCCCAGGGATGGGCATTGCTGGAGGGGATCAGGATCCACTTTTGCAGCCGTGGGCATGGGAAGTGTGATGGAGGGAGATCACAGGTGCTCTCTGAACAGCCATGGACCCACAAAATAACTGTGGGGAGATGCAGGAGAGGAGCGTGCAGTGCTGCTGTGGTTTAGCCTTTCTCTGCTTGGGGGGAGCAAAGTTCTGGCCACATTTTGCTCATTAAAATGAGCCAAAGCACTTGACCAGTTTGAGCTAGGAGAGCCTCGCAGGCTTCCAGTCCAGACTGCTGGCATCAGTGTTAGGGCAGGTTATTGCATTAACCCCTCTGTACAAGCAGCCAATTTTGAACAGGGGCTGGGAGCCGTGGGAAGCGGGCTGGGTGCAAGGGGCTGGGGAGACAGCATGTGCCCTGGTGCCGCTTTGCCCCAGGGAGGTTTGTTTTCTGTGCCGTGTGTGCCACGGCGAAGCCAGGATCACTGTGTCCCTTGGTGCCGGGGACAGATGCTGCTTGTCTTGTGTTTCCTTTGAGAAAAGCTTCCTCCACCCTTGGACATGGACCCTGGGGGAGGGAGAAGATAAGGGAGCCCAGAACACAGCCCCATTGTGTGGCCCTGTTTTGCTCCCAGCAGCATCCCGGCCCCAAAGTGACGATGAGGAAGCCTTTCCGATGTCTTTTCGCAGGGTAGGATAAGGCCAGTGGGATACAAGACCCGCCTTGCACAACCCACGGGAGCCCCAAAGGATGGGAACAGCATCCCCGCATCAGAGACTTGAGGTGGAGGGGGCATAAAATTAACCATTGTCCTGATGTCTGCGGGAGCAGCGAGCACCATCCCAGCACTGGGGGCCAATGACAAGGGGAGGCCTTGCTGGTCCAAGGGGCTGCCGGAGCCCTGTGCGGTGCTGGCATCTTCCCTGAATTCCCCAATGCTGTGGCCTGCAAATAAAGGGATGTTTGTTAGCTGGGCACGCTGTGTTTTGCCGAGCAGAACAATAAAGAGAAAGATGCTCACAATGGGAAATTGTGCTTCCTCCTCCCTGTGCGTTCCTCGGGGAGGTGTTGAGGGGAAAAAAAAAAGAGAGAAGAAAGCAGGAAGAGACGGCAACAGGGAAGGGAGTGAGGGCACAGCCAGCTCTCGCCACTCCCGCGCACCATGGGAGCAGGCGCCAAGGCACCGCGGGGCCGTGGGGCTGCCGGGACACTGCCCGCCCTGGGACGGTGACAGGGAAGGGGCTGGCTGGGAGCACCCACTCGCCACCTCCCATGTCCCTGTGTCCCCTCTTCCCGGCAGCACCGTGACACAGATTTGACCCTTCCGGAGCCCTCGACCCTGCGATGGGGAAGCTGTGACGGAGACAGGACGCAGCAGGCACCGGGGCAGGACGCATGCTGGAGGCGTTGGATGGGACCGGCAGCTCCCCAAAGGACGCAGCTGGGGACGGTAAGAGGTGTGCGGCACTGGGGAGGAGGGTTGGCGCATTCTGTTGGCTGGATGTCCTGCGAGGGGACATCCCCTTTGCACAGTAAATGTCAGTGAGCCCCCAGCTGAGCAGGGCCATCCATCGGCCCCATGGCATCCCCAGCAGCAAGCACTGCAGATGCCCCCAGCCATTGGGGTACATCCCACTGCACGTCCCTGACCCCTGCGCCCCCCCCCAGGCACCGCCCTGCCCCCAGCTCTAAGGATGCACCGGCTTCTCCTGCTCAGCTCCCTCTGGCTCTTGGCAGCACCCCCAGCATCGAGCATCTTCCAGCGGCCGACGGGGAGCCCAGGTAGGGAGCAGGGCCCAGGAGGAGGATGGGGTGCTGCTGTTTGGGGTCGGTGCTGGAGGAGGGAGGTGGTGCTGGGGGGATTCAGCCAGGGCAGGGGCTGAGCTGTGTGTTCCCGGGGTTGTAGGAGTGGGGAAAAGAAGCCAGGATGGGTGATAGAAACCAGGCTTAAGATGCTGATGAGGGTTGAGGGGTGTCAGGGGAGGCGTTGAAGAGGTGGTGGAGCCACAGCAGTGTTCTGTGGTGAGCCAATGCTGAGGCTGCCCGGGTATGCCGCAGCCCCCCCCCACCTGCAGTACCTGCTGGAGCCCCTTCACACCACGGTGCACACGCAGCGGGGTGCCACGGCCACCCTGCCCTGTGTCCTGCGCGCCCTGCCCCGCAACTACCGGGTGAAGTGGAGCAAGTTGGAGCCGGCCAACTATCGGGAGAGCATCATCCTCATCACCAACGGGCTGTACCACAAGAACTATGGGCCGCTGAGCCCACGGGTGCGCCTGCGGCACAGCCACCGCTACGATGCCTCGCTCACCATCACTGACGTGGCTCTGGAGGACGAGGGACGCTACCGCTGCCAGCTTGTCAATGGGCTGGAGGACGAGAGCGTCTCGCTCACGCTGCACCTCGAAGGTGAGGCTGGGGCACCTCCTGCTACATCCCCCAGGGATGTGGGAGAGAGTGGAGAGGGGACCCTGGACTGGGACTGGGGGTCCACGGCTGGGTGCTTCCTCCCCTTGTGTCCCCTGTTGCAACACCCCAAGCCCCGGCCTTATCTTCAGCACTGAATCCCCAGGGATGATAAGCCAAAGCCTCCTCGGGGAGAACATCTCCTTCACCCTCTGTCCCTGTTCCCTCAGGCGTCGTCTTCCCCTACCAGCCCAGCAACGGACGCTACAAATTCAACTACCATGAAGCCAAGCGAGCCTGCGAGCAGCAGGACTCCCGCCTCGCTACCTACCAGCAGCTCTACAAAGGTGAGGCATCCAAAAAAAACCCCTTATCCACCCCAAAATGTGCCTTGCTGGGCGCAGGAGTGGGGAGGAGGGAAGCACTGGTGCTGACCCTCCTCTTGCCCTGCAGCCTGGACGGAGGGTCTCGACTGGTGCAACGCCGGCTGGATCCTCGATGGGACCGTCCACTACCCTATCATCAACTCCCGGGAGCCGTGTGGTGGCCACCTCCTCCTGCCGGGCGTTCGGACCTATGGGGCCAGGGACAAGCAGAAGGACCGATTCGATGCTTTCTGCTTCACCTCTGCTCTTCAAGGTAGTGCTGGCATCCCCTCTCCCTCCCACAGTGGCACTGAACCCCGATGCCCACCTGTATTGGCATCAGGGCTGGGGTTGTTCCCAGGAAGACATCCGTGGCGGGTGCTCACCTGCCATGTCCCCATTCATCCCCAGGCCAGGTCTACTTCATCCGGGCCCACCTGAACTTCAAGGAGGCCGGACAAGCATGCCGCAACCACGGGGCTGCCATCGCCAAAGTGGGGCAACTCTACTCCGCCTGGAAGTTTTCCCAGCTGGATCGCTGTGACGGGGGGTGGCTGGCGGACGGCAGTGTGCGGTACCCCATTACCACACCCCGTGAGCGCTGCGGGGGGCTGCCGGACCCCGGCGTCCGCAGCTTCGGCTTTCCCAGCAAGGAGCTGCGGACCTATGGCACCTACTGCTTCGTGGGGAAGTAGGAACACCAGAAGGAGAGGTGGGCTGAGCGAAGGGTACCGTGGTAGGACGCTGGCCCTTGTCACCCAGGTGGAGAGCTTGAGGTGGGGTATTGGGGGGGTCTCCCAGTGATTTCGAGCGGTTCGTGCATCCTCTGATGGAGCGATAGAGCTCGGTTTGGGCGCTCAGTGCATCCTCTGATGGAGCTGCTCCCCATGCCCCAGCCTGCTTTGGGGCTTGTTGGGTGTTCGGGGCTTGCTGGAGAAGCCAGACCCATTGCTGGGCCAGGAAGGGGGTCTAATCCAGACCCCCCCAGCCAGCACCACAGGCCCCCCCTTCCCCAACCCCGGTGCGTCCCTTGGCCCATCCTTGCTCCCTGCAGCCACAAGGACTCTGGCTGGTGCAAGCACACTGGAGGGCTGGGCATTAACGAGCGTGACTAATGGAGTTTTGCCTTCTCAATTAATAAAGCGACGGTAAAGCTGCACGGCAAAGCCACGCTCTTGCCTGGCCTCTGCCCCCTGGGACTGTCTGGCCTCTCAAAGAGGGGAATTTGACAAAGACTTTCCGTCTCAAGCAGGGGGGCAGCCAGTGCGGCCCCCCCCAGCCGCCCTGTCCCGGGGGTTATCGGTGTTCCTGGCACTGCACACCAGGGGTTTCTGAGTTTTGCTGTTCAACAGTCAGGGAGAGCTATAAAAAGCACCGGAGCTGGCACAGTGCAGGGGGAAAACCAGTGTGGGGAGATGCCAGCATCCCCTGGCACCTACAATGTGCCCCCCAAGTCCCATGTGTTTGCCAGGAGCAGCAGCCCAGCCTGATCTCTGACCGGTCCCCAATGCCACTGGGATGCGGGGGCACTTTGGGCTGTGCCTCCCTGTTTCTGTGGTCCCTGGGGATGTTGCTGTGCACAGGCTGTGCCAGGGGCTCTCCAGCTTCATGGTGCTGGTGGGTGCTGCCATGCTCCCCATTTTGGGGCTGTGCAGCTCTCCCTTTCCCACCTCTGTGCCAGGGCTGCCCCAAATGACCAGGCCACTGCTCCGTGCCATCTGTTTACTGGTTTTAATACCCACAGAAGCACAGAGAGGGGGTTTGGGCAACACATACCCACTCCGAGCCTGAGGCAGTAGCTTCTGCCTTTCCTGGGAAGTGCAAAAGCCCTCCTGCACCCCGGAACGGGTGCTGAGCTGCAGCACAGCTTGGATGTCCCTGTGTCATGCCCCACCAGCGTGTCTCAGGATGAGGATCCTTGGGCCAGAAGTGGGAGAAAGCGGCTGGAGGTGATGCTGGCACATCAGTGCCATCACCTTCCTGCGGTCCCCCTTTGATTTCAACTCTGTTGTGACTCCAGGAACAAAACACCCCTTGTGCTACATTTTGGGTCACTGTCGGTTCCTTTTGAGGGGATCTTTAGTTATTAGGATTTCTTTGTACAGATATAAAACAAACAAGGAGGCAGACACCCAACAGTAAGGTGTTGTGCCATGCCGGGATCCGTGCTGGTGTCCCGGTGCCGTCCCCATCCGCACCAGCTCCAGGGCCCGGGGAGGTGGTGGCTTCTGCCCCAGGGACTCGCTCAGTCGTCAGGGGGCTGAGCCAGGCCTGGGGGGGACACAAGAAGCCCCAGGTGAAGGGAAAGCCCCAAAGGCAGATGCTGAGGGGACTGGGGGAGTCAGGGGGAGCCCTGCGCTCACCGGGGCGGCAGGCCAGCTGGGGCGGCTCCCACATCCCATCCTCCTGGCACCGGATGATGGGTGAGCGGCGCGGGACGAAGCCGTGGCGGCACTGGTACCGCGTGATGGAGCCGATCTCGTAGCGCTGCTTTGGTCTGCCGAAGGCGTGGGCATTGCTGATGGCGGGGGGTGGCCCGCACTGCACTGCAGGGGGGGAAGGGGTCATTGCAGTCAGCCGTGGATGGGGACCCCCAAACTGGAGCAAACCACCCCCCAATAAACCCCAAACAAGCTGAGGGTCCCATACACAGGACCCGTTTCCCCACTGCGGGGATGGTGGGGAACTTCTAATTTGGGGTCACAGAGGGGTGCAGTCCCAGCCCCTCAGCACAACCCCTGCCCAGGGCAGGGATGGTCACAGCTTACCCAGCCCCATTTTGCAGGTGTAGGAGAGGTGGTAGTTGCAGGGCACATCGCTCCACTGGCCCCCATCATGCCACACGATGACCACGCAGTTCTCCCCAGAGAGAAAATAGCTGTCGGGCTGCCCAGGGTGCCAGTTCTCATAAAGCTGGGGGGACAGGCGGGACAGGGTGCATGGGGCACCCCAGCACACACTTTAAGCTGGGGGGGAGGGCCACACCAGCACACACCCATCTGCAGCCTCCTGGCTGTGACACCCCCATCGGGAATGAGGTCCCATCTCCATGCCCCTTGGCATGGCTTTGGGACCCCAAATCCTGGGGTCTGGCTCACCCATGGCACCCCCGAGGATGCTCAGCCTGGCCGAGGCAAGTGGCTCTTGGCGGGGGGGGGCTTCAACGCCTGGTCCCAGGGTTGGACCCATCCCGCAGGCACATTCCCAAGCGATGGAGAAGGATGACGAGGTGCCTGGGGAGGGAGGGGGTGTCTTCTCCCGGGGGGCACACAAGGGCTGGCAGCCTGACTTACCAAAGGGCTCCCATCGGACCACTGGAAATCCCCCTCGATGGTCCGGTCGTTCAAGCCAATCCACTGGTACTCCCTGTACTGGTCTGAGGGGGCAGGGGGAGTGTTGGGGTGGGGGTGGGAGGGCACAGCCAGGCCCCCCAGCACCCCCTGTCAGCAGGGGGCTCAAGGGATCTGGAGGCTGAATTTGGGGAAAATTGCGGTCTGGGGGTGAGTGCGGGGAGGTGGGGGTGTCCCCAGCCCGGCGGGGTTGGGCTGGGGGCTGGGAGGTTTGGGATTTGGGGACAAGGGGAGCCCCGAAGGGGACACAGCGGGACCCCCCACCCTGCACCCCCGCGGGAGCGGCGGGACGGGGCCAGCCGGGAGAGGGCGGCAGAGCTCTGGGTCCCCACGGTCCCGCCTGTTCCTGCCTGGCCCTGCAGGTCTCTGCCTGGCCCTACCAGTCCCTGCCTGCCCTTTTCTGGTCCAACCGGTCCCTGCCTGTCCCTGCAGCTCCCTGCCTGCCCTTGCCTGTCCCTGCCTGTCGCTGCAACTCCCTGCCGGGTCTCTCCCTGTCCCTTCCTGCTTCACCCTCACATCCCTTCAGGCCTCTTTGCTCTCTGCCCCGTCCCCACTGCTGTTGTCCCCTGCTCTGCCTCCCTCTGCATTTGCCCCCCCCTCCCTCCATGTCTGCTTTCAGGCAAGTTATTGCTTTGCCTTCAAATTTACTTGCACACGTCCAATGCTCTGCTGGTCTGTCCACCCATCACACATCTATCTCTCTGGTCCCATGTCTATCCACCTATGTATCTATCTGTCCATCCGTCATCAGCCCAGCAGCAACCCTGCTGTCTGTCGCTCTTCCCCTACCGCTCACTAGCCAAGAGGCCGGTGAGCAGCTAACCACACTGGTCAATCCATCATATCGGCTATTTCCTTTACTCTTTATTTTCTTTGACTTCCCTAGACTGTGTCTGCCTCTTCTGCAGCACAGCAGGGTAGGGCTCTGCCTTGGCTCTCGGCCGCTTTTTGGCTTAAGGTTTAAACTTGAAGCCCAGTGCTGAGGGACGCTGAGGGTCCCGTGGGCAGAGGTCTGGGGGAGGATGCAGCGGAGTCCGGGGCAGCACCACGTACCATTGATGAAGTCCTGCTCTTCGGGGGTCAGGATGGTGGCCAGGTGTCCCCCGTAATGCCTGCACTGGGTCTCCGCATCCTCCCAGCTCCTCCGGGTGGAGAAGTGCTTGTAGCAGGCTCCCTGGAAGCTGTCCCAGCCGGGGCTGCACTTCTCCAGCACTGAGCCATGGTAAGGGGGTAAGGGGGGAGAGAGGAGAGGGTCAGGGTGATGGAGCCCAGCTCACCAGCAAGCAAAAAAACCCCAAAACCTGATTTCCCCACATTTATGTCTCCTGGGCCGCTGCTTCAGCAGCTGAGGCTGCAGCGGGAGCTTGGCAGGGGCCAGCCGGTGCGGCCATGGTGGGACCTGGGGGACTCACGTCTTTCACAGCTGCTGCCTCCATAGCCCGGCAGGCACAGGCAGGCGATGCGGGCGCTGTCCTCCATGCAGGTCCCTCCGTTCAGGCAGGGGTTGGGGACGCAGCCACCTGCAAGGCACATGCAGCCTTCCTCACCATGGGAGCTTGGGGACCTCGTTAGTGCCCAGCATCGTTAAAGCCTCATCTCTGCAGTGAGTAGCCCCACAGCAATCAGGTCCCTGATCTGGTCACTGAGGGCACCAAGTCTGGGGCAGGAGAAGGACTCGGGCACACAGTGACATGCCTGCAGCCACCCTGTCTGCCCATGCTGCCCTTGGTCCATGGGATGCACCCGGCTCAGCCGCCCCAGCCCAGAGTTGGCCGGACTTGGGGCTTTGGCCTCCTCCCAGGGCACAGGGACGTGAGCTGGATGCTCTTGTCCTCTGCATCAGTGGGCTTGCTGCTGTGCCAGCCCCTGGCCTGCTCCCGTCGCCCAGGGACAGCCCCTGCTTTCCCCTGGAGTGATGCAGCAAATGTGTTTTGGGAGGGGAACATGTAAAGGGTCATCTGCATGTCCAAGCCGCACGTCCTCAGCCTGGCGGCAAGGTGAGCCTTGCGCCTGTCCCTCTGTTGTCACCTTCAGCCTGGCTGGGGCTGATAACTCAGCCAGCACTGTCCCCAACCCGCATGTCCCCACCAGCCCGTTACGGTCATTAAGGCGCCCGGAGCACATCGTGTGCTCCCAGTCCTGGCTCAAGAGCATGATTAAGGGCTGCCGCCAGCGCCGGCGGAGCAGAGCCTGAAAGTCCTCGACACCCTTCAGCCTAATGATGCCCATTTAATGGTCCTTGGCTCGGTGGAGCCATGCCGAGGACAATGCTGCCACCCTCTTCCATCCCCAGGCACCGTCACCTCCCAGCAAGGTGCCAACAGCTCACTCGGGACACCCAGCTCATCCCCAGCAGACCGAGGCACGGAGCAGGATGAGCTATTTAGGGCCCTAACACCACACGGCCGGCTCTTTCTGAGCATCTGTCCTTGCCAGAGCAAAGGCAGCCATCCCACGAGGCCTGGCCACCCACCACGGAGCATCCGCTGTGCTACAGGACTCGGCAGGGCACTGCCAGACCAGGGGGACGGGGAACCCGCACCATCCCCTCAGCTGCAGCCGCCCTCGCAGGGAGCCAGGAGGGCAGAGGGGGGCAGGGGCTTGGCTCCTGTAAGCGGCATCAGAGCTGGGAGCATCGCAGCATGGGGGCCGGAGGGTGGGTCTGGGTGGGCGACAACCGCCTGTGGCAGTTCATGCACCCACTGCTTGCCCATCTCAGCCCCCATGTAGGGGGAGCAGGGCTTGGGGGGGGCGGGGGGGAGCTATGCTCCCCGGGCGGACTTCAGGGACTTCGGGGCGCTTGGCCATCGAGGTCTGCACAAGGCAGGGTGCTTTAGGTGGGGCTCTGCACCCCATAACCCATCGGTGCCCCCCATGGCTCCAGGGGTAGGAAGCCCCCCTGTGCTAATGTCATGCAGCTTCCAGCCCTTGTTCCTCCTCCCAGGGCAGCACTGAGTGAGCCAGCCCCGGGGGGGGACACCGCACGGAGGGTGCAAAACAGCCGTACCCCACTCCCCCACCTCACACGGGGTCCCATCCACCCTGTTCCCCAGGGACTCGCAGGTACAGGGCGGGCCGGGGGATTAGTTCGTCAGTGGGAGAGGCACGCAGGCAGTGAGCGAGGCAGCAGGCGCAAGGACGAAGGGAAGAGCTAGCCGAGATGCTTGTTCTAGAAAGCTTTTAATTCCCTTTATTAGTATCACTGTTAGTCAGAATAGGGTTTGGGGCCTTCTTTTGATTTTTTTTTTTTTTCATGGAAACAGTCATTAAAACACTTCACAGAAGTAGAAGAGATTTAAGTGCATGCAGACCTCGGACCAATTTGTTTGACAAATATGTGCTTCTCCAGACCTGTAACCTTCCCTTACCCAGCTGAGGAGGAGAGAGAGAAAGGAGAGAGACAGACGGACAGACGGACAGAGGGAAGCACAGCATGAAGGAAAGGTGTTGGCTTTCTCTAGTGCCAGACAGCAGCCAGGAGGGCTGCCCCCAGGGCGAGGGTGGCACAGCGGGGACCCCCGGCCGAGCGGGTTCCTGCCCCGACGCTGGCCCGCTCAGTGGGGAGGGCGGGCAGGGGGGCAGCTGTGCTGGGGGCCGGGTCCCCCAGTGGGGTCCCCACCGGAACCACCCCAGAACTGTCAGTACGGGGAGAGGTGAGGCCATCCCTGCGGGTCCCACCTGGTTCTCCGGGAACGGCTGCAAGGAAACCCTCCACGGTTGCAACAGAGGGAGCGGGTTGGTCTTCCTCCTCTTCCTCCTCCTCCTCCTCTTCCAAAGATGCAGCAGGCATCCCATGGTCAGTGCTCGGGGGTCGCGGCACAGCCTCCTCACCTCCCGTGGCCGGCACGCTGCTGCTGCCAGGCACTTCCGTGTGCCATGGTGTGACCGCCGTCACCTCCGCCGTGGGGACAGTGCTCCCGTCCCCCAGGGTCGTGGGTGAGGGGAGCCACAGGGCCCCCGACTGCTCTTCTCCCTCCTCCTGTGGCTGCGAGGGCGCAGGGGGCAGCGGGGACGCCCCGAGGCTTTCGACCACGTCTCCCGAGATCTCAGTGTCTTCAGCGGTGGGGATGGGGGTACTCACCCCGCCGGACTTGTGCCCACCTGGGGACATCCCACCAGAATCTCGGCTATCTGATGAGGTGGCAGAAGTGGCACTGGTTGGCAATGTCACCCGGTGCCCAGGTGCCCCAGGGCTGGCTGTGTGGGCTGGCCGCCCCATGGCATCCCACGGGCGGTCGGGGCGGCGTGTGGAGGCAGTGGGACTGGGCGGCCGGGGAAACCCCTCAGGAGGCTCCATGTCACCTTCCGTGGCCCCCGCCGGGGATGGGGTACCGGTGAGTTCCTCTGTGCCCACCCGTGGGGCCACGGAGAGAATCTCCGTGCTGGCAGCTTCATCCGGCTCCATGGGCTGGCTGCGGTCTTGCCCTCCGTCCAGGCTCTCTGCTGATATGCTGCCGGGGTCCCTGCCCAGCGCTGCTCCCTGTTCCTCCTCTGCAAAGGGCAAGGCACAAAGGCAGTGAGACACCGGCACCGGGGAGCCAGCCAAACCTCAGGGTCACAGGCACCAGCATTGCCCACCAGCACCGCAGATCCTGCCCACAGCGGGCAGAGCTGGGGAGGGGGCAACACCAGCACAAAGATGCACAGGGAGATGGAAATGGCCCCGAGCCCGTGTGACATTGTCCCCTCTGAACCGGCACGGCAGACCAAGCTCTGGCTCAGCCACTGCCAAGCCCAGCCCCGGCACAGGCTTCCCTGCGGCAGGGGCCATGCTCAGCCCCTCAGCTGCTGTGCCTGGCCTCCTCTCCCTCCGGCTGCCAGCACCATTCTCCAGCTCTTTGCGCTGCTAAACTGCGGTCCGGCACCAACCTTGCACACAGGACCCTGGCCGAGGGAGGGACAGACAGATGTCCCCACACCAGTGACTTGTGCACAGCCCTACACCAAGACACTGGTGCCCCCGCCATGGGTGCTCCCTCTGCAGAAGGAATGGGGACAGCTGGGGCGACCTGGGCACCCACGGGTGCCTCTGACCTCTCCTTGCAATCCCGGCACCTCCATCCCTGCGGCTCCTCTCTGCACCCCAGCCCTGGCACCGCCACAGCGGCTCTTCGACCTACCCTTGCCGGACAGCTCGTGCCCGGCCGCTGTGCACTGCCCAACTGTCCCTGTTGTCCCATCCTCCTCCGTGGGGGATGAGCTCCCCGGTTTTGCACCACAACTAAGCGGGATGCCTGCCTCGGGAATGGCCGGGGCCATGGGGAAAGGGGTGGCAGAGGTTGGGTGACCTGAGGACACGGAGGTATCTAGCGGGGGGTGCCGGGCCCCTGGCCCAGGTGCGTCTTCAGGGGACAGGCTCGGCTTTTCCAGCTCAGCGTCCTTAAAGAAAGGGACGGCGTATATAGCCCCTCGTGACTCAATCTCCACTTGCGCTTTGGGCAGCTGCAGCTCCTCCAGCTTTTCTGCCACTGTAACAATCTCCTGGAAGCCCTCGGGCTCTCTGGCTTGGTATTTTCCTGCAGCCTCAGGGAAAGAGTTTGTCCCTTCTGTGGGCAGAAAGAAAGTGGGATATTACTGCCCCGTCCTGGCCCCACAGCAGGCAGAGATGCCCTTGCCCTGGCATGGGGCTGGAGCCCTGGGACAGCCTGGCACCCCAGTGGGGACCCAGCTCTCCTCGACCTCCCCTTGTCCCTCTACGTAGGGTCAGCGTGGGGCAGGATCAGGCCCTCTCCACGTGATGCTGGAGCCAGCAGAGCCAAAAGCCCCAGCAGGAGCTGTGGGGCTTGGCAGCACGCAGTGAGGCCGGATCCCGAGCCCTGTTTCCCAGAGGCGATGCTGATTTACACCACCTGTGCTGGCCCCAGAGCCACGTGCCAGCCCGGCTCCCCCCGCCGCCATCCGGCCAAGGCTCGTGGCTTCGGCAGGCATCCAGGCACCGCCAAATTTTACACTCGCAGCATTTTCTGCTTGTCCCTGCCCTTCCCGACAGTGGCTCTCTCCCCTTCTCCTCCTCCCCCTCCAGCAAACTCTAATCCTTGATGCATGCTGGCACCCCCAGCCACGGGGGGGGGTCCTTCTCCACGCCCCCATCCCCATCCCAGGGAACGCAGATGTGTATGGGGAGTTAGTGGGTTACAGGGATCGCGGATTCATAGGACGGGTCCATCCTGCCTAACCCATGGGTTTCCCTGCCAAGAGATGGGAAAACTGAGGCATGGAGATGCTCACCATCCAGTTGATCTGGGGGACAGCATCCCCATCCCGCAAGCCCCCATGGCCCTGAGGGGATGCACAGAGATGTGGTACTGGGAAGGAGAAGCAGACAGGTGGCTCTTTCTCCCTCTGTGCCTGTTATCTCTGCTAGCCTCCATCCTTGCTCATCCCCTCCTGGCTTATTGCCCATGTCAGCCAGTGCATAGACCATCCCTGGCAGCACAGGCAGCTCAGTGCCACTGCCTGCATGTCCTGTTTCCTATTCACCACAGTCAGATATTGCCCAAAATCAGCCTTGCAGGCTGTGCCCAGCAGCCCACAGGGACCGGCAATGCCCCCACCTCAGCTGGCAGCCGCTGGGGGATGAACCATCCCGGAGCCATGCCCACACAGCTCACACAGACCAATCGTGCCACGCAGGACATCCCTGTTCTGTTGCGATATAGTAGCGTGCAGCATTGAGGACATGCAGGGCATCCCTACTTTGTCGTGATATATCAGCATGTACTACTGAGACCATGCAGAGCATCCCTCCTCTATCATGATGTATTGGCATGCAGTATCGGGACCATGCAAGTTATCCCTCCTCTGTCACAATATATTGGCATGCAATACGGAGGTGGTGCAAGGCATCCCTATCCTACCGTGGTAGGTTGATACGCACGACTGAGACGGTACAAAACACCCCTGCACTATCGCAGTATTGCAGCATGAAGAGCACGCAGGGATCCCGATGCGATCCCAACCCTGCAGGAAATCCTAGCATTGCTGCACCCAGCGCTCAGCACGTGGGTGGGCTGGAGCCAGCACCCCGCACCCGCCAGGCACCTGTGCCACTGCCCAGAGGCTTCCCGAAACCTCACACTGGTCCCTGCCCGGGAGCATCTGCAGGCCAGCGGGGTGCCCCTCTTTACCTCGAAAGCAGTACGCATCGTATCTGCTCTGGGCATCGGGAAATCCTGTCTGGTTGCGGAAGAGGAAGATGGTTTTGACACCCGGCAGGGCCCCGCCGCAGCGTTCTCGGGGGGTGACGATGGGGTAGCGGACACTGCCGTCGGCCAGCCAGCCGGGACTACAGGCGTCCAGCCCTGCGCTCCAAGCTGCGTAGAGCTGCCCCGTGCTTGCCAGCTCCGCACCCAGCGCCCGGCAACGTGCCACCGCCTCCTCCAGTGTGAATTTGTCTGGGGCTGTCTCCAAAAAGATCTCCCCTGCAAAGAGAGGAAGGAGACGAGCGTCAGAACCGGGGAGGGGGGCGTGGGCTGCGGGAGCCCCCTCACCTCCTCCGTGCTCTGCACGACCCCAGGAGCAGGCTTGGAGATGGGGACCTCCAGCATGGTCCCCGCGAGGAGGAGCACCAGGAGCTGAAGGGTCCTGCCTGCCTCCCTGCCTGCCTCACTGCCTGTGTCTGGTCCTCCCGCACATGCACAGGACAATCGCAGCACAGGCATGGCTGGAGCTCTCATGCCACGCGGGATAGCTGCCCTCGCAAACGGAGCCGAGACTTTAAAGCATCCATGAAAAGGACTGCAGAGGAGCAAGTCCACGCCCTTCACGGTGCAATCCATGTATGGGTCATTTCTAAGGGGACCTGCAAGCCCAGTGGATGCTGCGGTGGGGCTTCATGCTCAGAAGGGCTGGAGATCGCTGCCCTAAGGCATGCCGCGTGCCAGCCCCCACGACCGCACCGGTCTCCCCCTCCCAGCGCATTGCACCTCACACACCAGTGACCTGCACTGCATCCCTGCCACCTGCCTGGCATCACCCTGACCAACCCCGCCACAGCCGCTGGCGGGGAGCCCCACTGGGGTCCGAAGGAGGGACCGGCCACCCCCACGCACACACAGCCGGGAGGGATGTGCCCGAGCTGCAGGAGATGCAGCACCCCAGTGCATGCAAAGCACGGCGCGAGCTTGCCCAAACCCCAAAACACCACGCAGCGCTATAGCCACGACATGCTGCCAGCCCAGGGCAGATCACCCTTGGCATCCGTCAGCCCTGAGGCCAGAGATGGGCACTGGCTGCTACGAGGGAGAGAGCCCCACACCCCGCAAAACCAAACCAGAAGCACTTCTTTGGGAAGCAGCACAGAAAGTCCCTGTGCTTGCGTGCATCAAAGCGCCCAAAGCTTTGCAGAGCTCAGAGGTTCCGGAGCCAGCAACTGTGGTTCAGGGTGGCTTTTTCACTTGGGTTTACAACGGGTTATGGGGGCGAGTTAGCGCAGCCGCAAAAGCAGGGGAGGGCAGGATGGGGCTGGTGGCACCACAGGCACCTGGGAGGTCCTCGGCGTAGCAGTACACGTCGTACATGTCCTCCGGGTCCACCACCCCGTAGTTCCTCACCCCGGGGAAGCCGTTCATGTCTCCATAGCAGGCCTCGCGGGGCGTGTGGATGGGGTACCTGGGGCAGGAAAGCACAGGGCGGGGCTGGCGACTCGTGGAGGGGTGAAGGGGGAGGCGATGGGTGCGATACCCGGGCGGCAGTGGTGCCCACCTGACGGTCTGGTCAGCAATCCAGCCGGCATCGCACTGCTCGTAGCCGCCGAGGTAGGCAGCATACAGCTGCTCGGGGGTGGCGATGCGGGCACCGATCCTGGCGCAAGCTTCCAGCGCCTCGGCGAAGGTGTAGGCATAGCGCATGGAGCCCTCCCGGTAGTGAAACACCACTCCTGCGGGGGAGTGGATATGGGCATGAGCAAGGGGCTTCATGACATCTCCCACCTGCATGGGTGCATCTGCACCCAGGTGCCCCTCTGCAGCAGCCCCCCCCCCCCAGGGGTGCATCTGCACCTGGGTGCAGGAGGGGTTTGCTGAGCCAGGAGAGGGCATCTGGGCAGGGTGGACTTCTACCCCCCCCACCGCCCCAAATCCCACCACTCCCCACCTTGAGGTACCTTTGACTTTGACATCAAGGATATCGTGGCCGTCCTCGATGCCGTGCTGCACGTCGCAGCGGTAGATCCCCGAGTCGTTGGGCCGCAGCTCGGTGAGCAGCAGAGAGGCATTGGTGTAGCGCTGGTGGAAGATGGGCAGGGAGGCACGGAGGCGATAGTCCTCGCTCACCTTCACCCTGTCCCCCCGGGCTACCAAGATCTCCACCTCCCTGCCCTCAGAGATGAAGGTCCACTTGACCCGGGGGGTTCCCAGGACTGCCCGGCGGCCGGCCGTGCCAGCGGTGGGCTGGGGGCCGAGGTAGGTGATGAGGCAGGGAATGGTGATGTCGCCTGCCAGCACGGCGTCGAGGGCTGGGTGGCGTGGGATGGAGACCTGCAGAGCCTTGAGGTCCTCTGGGTGGGAGAAGAGAGGAGCCATGAGCAGGACTGGCATAGGGTGCCCCACCCCCACCCCAAGACCCCCACCGCAGGGCGCTGATGGGGCAGGGAGCAGCACGTATGTGGCCCATGATGCCGAGTTACCTGTACCATCTCCGGGGCCAAACACCTCCGGGACCACCATGGGGGCAAACACCCAGAGCAGCAGCAGCGGGAGGGCTGAGGCCATCCTCTGCCCTGCAAGGGGGAAGGAAAAAACACCAGCTGTGCTTAAAATCCAAAGAAGCATCAAAAATATCCCTTCCCTGCACAAGGGGGAGAGTCACGGAGAGACCCCCAGCCCATGTGTGTGGGGATGGGATGATGCATGCGGCATCAGGGCACAGAGGGAGAGGCCAGCACCAGCACGGCCACGGGGTAACCTGGACCTTGGATGGTGAAGAGAAGGAAATGTGCCCTGTTTAACAGGAGGAAGGAGACAGCACGAGCAACTGGGACCATTGGCTGGGTGCCACTAGGTCCCATCCAGCCCCACCAGCCTTCCCAGGGAGCCGGGTCCCCTGGGGACAGCAAAGCCCAACCTGGCCCCAATGGCACGGAAAATTTGAGCCCAAACCCTGGCCTTGGCAGGCAGGGAGACGATGCCAGAGCTGGGGCTGTGTGTTCGCAGGCGCCACAGTGAAAAACCTCAGAAGGGTTTTTTTTAATAGCTGGTGTTGAGCAGGAAAGAGGCAGCAAGCCCCAGCCAGGGAGGCGAGTGTGCAAGCAAGGCATGCACATGTGCGCTTGTGCTTCTGCACGCATGTCGCAGCGTGCACGCGTGCGGGTGCGCACATGCATGTGCATGCGCTTGTGCACGTGTGCGGTGCAGGGAGGGGCTTGAGGTCAGTGAGCTGCTGGGGAGCGGAGGGGACACAGCCGAGGGCACACAAAGCACGGGGTGGAGGGGGAGGGAAGGAGCAGGAGGGCTTCTCTTTGGCATTCAGCTCACGCCGGAGGTTCCCCACACGCAGGCTGGGAAAACCGGGGCCGACCAAAGCAGCCATTATGTCCCAGGCCTCTCTCAAGGCAGCCTGGCACAAAGGGCTCTCCCCAGCAGGCTGGGGATCGGTGGCTGAAAGGAGAGCCCAGTGGCTAGCACTGCCACCACTGGCCCCCAACCCTCCCCGGGGAAAAGCACAGGGGACCGCTGGGGACACCGGACACGTCGTGGAGGGGCTCTGGCTACCCATGGCCTCTTGCAGCCATCTGGAGAGGAGGCCGATGCTGGGGATGCAGGGAGATGCCCCTGCATGGTGTAGGGGAGCACAGCCCCAGTAGCCCTTCACCCCTCTGCAGAGGCTCCTCAGGGGGCTGGGGGTTTCCTCAGCAGCCCCCCCCCCAATACCGGGGATGCACCATGGGGTTCCCCAGGACAGGAGCATAGCAGCCCTGAGACTCAGAGCAGCTTTTTAATTTATGAACTCTTTGTGCTGCATTGATTTCAGCAGCCACAGAAGCGGATTTGGCACCTCCACAGCACTCTCTGGGCCAGGTCACCAGCTGCCAGGGCCAGCCTGACGGGAGGCTGTCCTCATCAGCTGCATCCCTCTGCGAACAGTGCTATCTGAGTTTACCCATGGGACCACTGCAGCAGGGTGAGGGTGTGAATACAGCCCCGGCACCACGCACCATGCATGCACAGCCCCTGGAACCAAGCTCAATGGACATGCAGCCCCTGGTACCGTGCACCATGAATGTACAGCCTGTAGCACCAAGCAGTGTGGACATACAGCCCCTACCACCATGGACAACGGATGTACAGCCTGTAGCACCATGCACCATGGACATACAGCCCATAGCACCACACCATGGACACAGAGCCCCTGGCACCACACACCATGGACATATGGCCCCTGGCACCATGCACCATGGACATACAGCCTCTAGCACCATGCACCATCAATGTACAGCCCCTAGCACCATGGATGTACAGCCTCTGGCACCATGCACCATGGACATACAGCCCCTGGCAGCAAGCACCATGCATGTACAGCCCCTGGCACCACAGACCATGCATGTACAGCCCCTGGCACCACAGACCATGGACATACAGCCCCTAGCACCAAGCACCGTGGATGTTGACTATCATGTGCAGACCACAAACCACCCCCCCCTTCCCAGCAGGAGCTCGGCACGGGCAGCCAAAACCCGATTGCCCAGGACCCAGCTGGTGGTGCCAGAGCCAAGCCAGGGGCTTTCTGTGCTCCGGCCAGGTCATTTGAATTCAGCCCCACAGCTCTGGAGCGAGGGACAAAACCCTCCTGCTCAGCGGCCATGGCCAGGCTCCAGCGCGGGGGCTGGCTGCCGTCCCCCCAGGCGGCCAAGCAAGGAAGGCTTTTGTCACGGGTGCCTTTTCTTCCCGTTCCCAAGGCGCCGAGGTGGCGTGAACAGTGGCCAGCAGCAGCGGCCACGAAGCCCCAGGGAGGAAATTCAAGTGATAAAACTCTGCAGGAACAGGGCAAACTGGGGTGAGCGGGTGTCTGCTCCCCTCCCATGTGCATCCCTGGCTGGGACCAGGGTGCCGGCACCAGGAATGGGATGTGGAGAGGGTTAAACCTAGTTTCACCCTGCCCACGGGCGATGCCTCAAGGCCCTGGAAGAAACTGTCAGACATCACATTTGGGGTTTGGGGTTGGATATTTGGGTGGGGTTTTTTTTTTCCTATTTGCCACAAATGGAAAATTTTTCAGCCCACATGTCGGGAGAGAAAAGCTGGGAGCAGGACTAGGGAAAGGCAGCCAAAAAGCTCAGAGAGGGGGGGATGGCGGCGGCTCGAGGGGCTCAATTGTCTCCAAGACCTCGGAGCTCAGGAGCCGCTGGGGACGGACTGAGACATAGGCACGCACGCAAGTGGCGGGGCTGGCTAACCTCCATTTCTGTGGGAAGCCAGGTGGAAAATGGAGCTGAAGTCTATTTTGGGACAGGAGCGATCTTTCGTTCTCCCCTGAGCTCAGCCCCGCTTTCAGAGGTGGTTCCTTGAACACAGGGCCGGTGCGATTTGGAACTACAGCACCCAGTCCAGGGTGAAAGGCAGGAGATGCTGTGAGGGGATGGCTGAGGGCCGGATTCCTTCCCATCTCCAGAGAGGGTCTTTCTCCTCCATGGCCCCCTTGTCCCCTCCATGTGACAGTTACTCATCCAGGCTCACAAGGTGCCCTGCCAGCCCGCAGCGAGCCAGGGGGAGGGCAGGCAGCGGAGTACTGGCTTTCCAGGGATGCTCAGCTGCAGAATGAGTCAGCAGCCACGGGCAGAGTCTGGCCCCGCTCCAGGCACAAGCGGGCAGCCCCATCCCCACCGGCAAAGGGCTTCGGACACCCCACTGCCGCCCCAGCCAGCCGGCCGCACCGATGTCCCCATCCACGCACACATCCATCCCGGCACACACGTGGCTGCCTCCGTATCAGTTTCCCCCTCCTTGCTGCAAACTGGCCCTTCATCCAGGATCCGTCCCCATCACTGGATGTACATGGGGTGCAGCCGTGCTTGGTGGGAGTCCCCGGAGCAGAGCAGTGCCAGGGGACACACCGGCTCCCCTGAGAGGAGGCTGGGGTGGGAGGGCCGCACTCTGCACAGGGGATGCAGTGGGAAGCACCTGGCAATCTCTTGGCAGCAGCGGCTGGCAGAGCTTAAAAGGCCGGAAGCAGCTGGGGAGAATGGGGGGTCCCTCCAGCTGCCAGAACCACTCAGCCCCCCCTATTCCAGCAGGGAGAAAGAGGCTCCTTGTTGCAGGGCTGGGATGCAGGGATGTGCCCCCCCCATAGCAGGGGGACCAGGGGAGCCCAGTGAGGGCCCCTGGGGAGATACAGTCCCGCACGGAGGGGTGGGGGTGAGAGCAGACCCCATAGGAACCCACAGGGACGTGTGAGGCTGGGTGAGCACGTCACACGCACACGTGAAGGTTTGCACACCCATCCCTGCCTTTCCTGGCTGTGGGGCTCTGGTGGGGAAACTGAGGCACAAGGTGGGACAGGAGAAATGTGGGATGGAGGATGGGGAGGTCCCAGATTTCGGCACTGCTGCTCAGATGCGTCCCACTAAGCCGGGGCTCCCCAGCCCCTCTGCACGCTCACCAGCAGACTTGCAGCTCCTCGCTCCCAGCACAAGATCACCTGGTCTCCCAGTTTCCCCAGTCTAAACCCATTCCCCAAAGAGCAGCCCTAAAGCATCCCGATCACCCTCACACTGCCATGCACACTCCCAGCAGCTGGAAAAGGCTCCAGGCTGGGGCAGAGGGAGTTTTTCCCACCCCTCCAGCAACCAAAAGGAAGAGCAACAGGTTCTGGGTTGGACTGAGATGGGAGAAGTCAGCACGATGAGAAAGGAGGCTTCGGCCAAAAGCGGTCCCCTGAGGGGATGCTCAAGGGCAGCCCCTTCATCCCGGGGATGAAATGCTCTGGCTGTGAGAGGGGAAGGGGATTGCAGCAAACTACCCCAGCCAGGGGCACCCCACAGGGGACCCGGGCTTCACGCTAGGGCTGCTTGCTGGAGAAAAGCCATGAAAATCCCGCAAAATGTTTCTATTTTCCCCCAGCCCCTCCCGTCCCCAACACTGGGACACTGGCAGAGCCCGGGGATGGAGCTGAGAAAGCTGGGGGAGGATGGGGAGATCCAGTGGTGCCCTGCAGCCACCCCAAACCCTAGGCTCTACCCTAGCCCGTCTGGGACAAGGCAGCTTGCCCCTGAAAACGTCCCCATGGAGAGCAGCAATGCAACCAGGCAGGAGAGAGGGGAGCTGGACCCCTGGATCTCTGTGCAAGCCCCTGACCAGCTCCGTGCCTCAGTTTCCCTTTCCACTGCTACCCTGACTGCAGCATCCTTGGGACAAGGACCTGTCCAGAGGTTCTGCAGGACAGATGGGGAGGGCTCCCCCATGATGGGACACCCCAGACCCATGCTGAACCCCAGCAGCTCTCCCAAAACAAGAGTCCCATGCGAGCACCTGCTGAAACAGCCCCAAAAATCCCCCTTATCCCCAGTGCCGGCTGGGCAGCAGGACGGGCTGGGTTCCAGGCTGTGGCGGCCAGGCAGCACCAAAGTCCTTTTTCCAAGAAACCCCCCTTCAGCCCCCGCTCTGCCTCCAGTGCTGCAGAGCCAGCACTGGTACAAGCTGATCCATTAAAAAAAAGAACTTGCAGAGTGATGCTGTCCTCCCGGGGGGGTCGGTGACAAGGACAAACCTCTCCAAAGTGGGACCATGGGGACCACCAGCTTTGAGCATCCTCTGCTGCAGGGCAGGATGATGCCTTGTCCCCCCTGTGCCTGCATCCCATGGGGAAAAGCACAGGGAAAGCTCTTGGCATCCCCACACCAGATCAGCTCTCCTCTTACTTTCCGCCAGTGCAGAGGTGAAATGAGATATTGAAATTAATAGCGCAGTACGGCAGCAGGCAGCTGCCCGGTCGGACCATGCATCACCCCGTGGTTGACCGTCGGCCAAGCCCAACGCTTTCCCCGCATCCCACCTTGCTCGGTGCGCGGTGGCAACCCCGCGGCGGCCCTTTTTCCCGGTGGGGGGAACGGCAGCGCTGGGGGGGGCTCCCCTTCCCCAGGGCCCCGGTGCGGGGCTGAGCTGCGGCTTCTCCGGGGCAGTGCAGGCAGCAGTCGGCAGCAGGTTGGCAGGACGGCTGGGAACGAGCTCCACCAGGCATAAGTGCAGGCACCGAGAAAAGAGGAGTCTTCTGTGTGTGTCCGTGTCCTCGTCTCTTTTTTTTTTTTTCCTTCCCCTTTCCCTCCTCCTTTTATATTTATTCCTTCCCCTAATTAAGGAAAAAAAAAAAAAATTATTACCGTGTTGGCAGGCGCTTCGTCCCTCCCCTTCCCTCCCTCCTGGCAGCTGGCAAACCCAGCACGAGATGCCGAGCGTGGGGAGAGGAGGATGCTCAACCCGGGCACGTTATTTAACCCAATGCAGCAGAAGTGGAAGAGCAGACAGACCTGGCTCTCCCAGACCCAGCTGGAGAAGGGGGTCGACCTGCCATGGCCCCCCACCACAGCACGGGAATGC